AATGTTTAAAGTTCATAATTTTGATTCCTAAACATTAAATTATAAAAAATAAAAAATGTTTTGAAATATTTGAAAACTAAAATTATATATATTTTTTAATTTGAAACATCAAAGATAAATTTATCTTTTAAAAAAAAAAAGTGATTTAGTCAATAAAAAATATAACACATAATAAAAATAAAATAGTGTGTTATAAACAAATATTGCGAATTTAAAACAATACAGTTAATATGCATAAAATATTAATCTTAAGATATACATTAACAAAATACTTAATATTACATTTATGGTTAAAGAACTGACTCAATGAGCCTAAACCACTAAAATTTTTGAATTTTCATAATTCAATCGAAATCATTTTTTCAAACGATATTTGTTTACAATAATTTCTTATAAATAAAAATGTTATTTTAATATAAACCTTATATATAATTATTTAAAATTAAAAAAAGTTATTTTAAAAATATCCGAAGCTATTGAAAAAATTTATTAATAATGAGTTTTAGTTCCACGTACATGTTAGTTAAAATTTGATAAAATTACTTGTATAATTTTTTTTTTCCAGTTTTAAATAACTTTATACGTCGAAGTAATGTTTTTATTCGTAAGTAAATGTTTAAAATTTCCCTTTAAAAATGCCCAATAACTTTAAAGAAAGTTGTTTTAAGCAATGTTTTTTAATTTAAAATAATTCATATGAGAAAATAAGAAGAAATTATAATTAATTTTCGTTAAAAAAAATAGAGAAAAGGAACCTACCAACCCACATGAGAACCCATTTGACCATTTCACACGCCTACCACAACACAATGTAAAAATTAATCCCTGTTGTTGGTATATCCGAACAATATTAATACACTTTCATACGAGTGAAAGGAAACAAGCACAAAAATCTCAACTCTTGGAATAACATCATTTAATATTAACGTTACAGTATTTTGTGACAAGTATAAACAATGTTGAAGTGTGATCTCAAGCATCACGCGTTCATCAGCATAACCATTTTCATTTTGTTTTTAAATTATTCATATACATTTTGATACAACTACTTTTATATAGAGAAAAATAACAAATATATATTAAAATTTAAAATTTAATCATTAAATTAAAAAATTTAATCAAATTAATCAGATTTACCGCTACAATATTGGTATAAATATATTCACTTTTAATATTTATCAAATATAATTAATTAAACAAATTATATAGATTGGTAAAAATGATTGAGCGAAAGAATATAAAGGACTACTTTCGTTAAGAGACAACCAATGTTTTTACTTACACACTTATCCTTCTTACAATCTTTGTAATTTATGTTGTTGGTGTGATATTGACTCCGCAATATTATGCGAAAATTAGGAGAAAATACACATTGATATATAATAACATTTAATTAGGAGTATAAAAATCACAATAACATTTTCTTATAATAGAAGAATCACGATGTGATAAGAATCCGTAATCTAAGTTCAACGACTTAGAAATTTCAAAAATAGCAATCCATCCTCATCTTAAAGAATGAGAAAAACAGAAGAAAACACATTTTTTACTATTTTGGTAGGTTTTTTCTGGCTTCAATGGATGAGTATTATACCCTCTCTCTGTGTATATAATATCTATAAAATTTTAGTCAGAATTATTTCTCAAACAACTTAATCTCCACTCAAGATATTAATTTCTAAATATAGTTATTCTTTTAGTTGTTTTAATGGGCATTCAAGTACAATGTTGAATCGTATAACTGCTACTTTGGTAGCAATATTCACAGCAATAGAACTTGTATGGTCAAATAAGTGAACTAAGAATCTAAATGCAAAGACAACTTCATAAGGAATTTGACATTCTTGTTTTCATTTTGAAAGCGCATATATATATATATATATTCCATATCCAGTTGGCCACATTCAAAGGTCGTAGAATGCAGAAATCATATCCTCACCTTTCCTTCAATCAGATCAGATGTGGTAAAGAGAGTCAAAGATGTTAGTTAGAAAGGATACTGAAATTAATCTAAAGTAATTGAATATTAATTGAAAGTTACAGCATGTGTATTATATTAAGGCTGTCAATTGTGACAGACAGTAATAAGGTCCTCACGCAGCCACGCACTAAACCGCTCGCATCAGTGCGGTATAAAGGGTCTTCTGAGATGCTTCCAAGAACATAATGCCTCAATTAAACATTTTTATTATTAAAAGCTTAAAGCCTAAACCATGGTTTGCACTTTGACACATTTCAAAATCCACTTTCCTACGAATTATAAACCAACCTAGTGCCACAGACAGAATATCTAGCACGTGCACAAAAGTACACCGGCATAGTGCCTATTGAAAGAGATAACTTCAAACATGATCACTCATCACATCACAAGCTCAATTCTTACCACATCCAGTCATGATAACCAAAAATGAACTGCTTCCATCACTTAGCTTTCCACGTCTTTTCAAATCGTCAAAATACAGGGTGAAGTGAAACACATGGTTTCCACAAACAAGCATGATTTTATGTTACAAAATTAATTACATGGCGCACCCATCTGAAATTTAACTTGTATTTCACAGACAAGAAAAGTTTAAAGCGCATCACTGTTTAACAAAGCAACGGCCAAAAAGAAAAGAAGAGAAATACATGCACTTTGGAAATATCAAATCAAGAAATACAGACACTTTGGGGTTTGGTGATAATAACAACAACAATGAACAACCCTTTTCTGTCATCCATCTAGTTCTCCTTTTTTTCTTTTTTCCTTATTATAGATCTTGTGCATGACGACTGCATGCTACGTTACCCTTGCTTCAACGACGACGTTCTGGGGTCCAGTGCGGTGCAGCTGGGCTAAAATGAAAAGAAACCGCCCTGGAATCAAGTAGTTCCATTATGGGCGTGAAGCTCACGCATCTTGGCACTTTGTACTGGTTAATCGACGCTCCACGAGAGATAGCGTAGTCCATCAACTCCTCAAACGTTCCATTCTTCACCACTCTTATCTCCAACGGCCCAATGGAGTTATCCGCAACTCTCCCTTGTCTGTAGACTGTATTCAGCGACTCTTCCATCACTAAGCAGCACTGGTTCAGTGCTTCGCTCGTGGGAGGGTGAGACGAGTCCTTCATCAACAGCTCCCAATAAATCACGTAATGCCCAGGAATGGATTTGGTGTCAGCGAAGCTCGTGTACTCCACCACGCTGGTGTTGAACTCCTTCAACAGCTCCGAGGCATTCTCAATGGCCTTCTGCAGTTCCGCTTCGTCTGTTTTGTCCGAGTCAATGCTCAACAAAACGTTTTTGCGCCTCACGAAGCGGAATTGTGGGTCCGAATTATGGAACCCAGTTACTTGAAGGATGTCACCCACTCTGTAACGGCAAAGACCTGAATAGGTGGTGATAATGAGTTCATAGAAATTACCAAGTTCCACGTCAGCTAGTTCCACCAACCGAGGAGGTGAGTCCTTGGAGAGAGTAACAGGAGAGGAATCATCATGGGGCAAGAACTCGAAGTAACCCATGTTTGGCAGAATGGTGTAAGACACATCAGAGGGTTCCGACATGGGCTTAAGGTTGAGGCCGAAAAAACACTCGGAGGAAGCGTACATAGTACAAGGTTTAGGAAGGCCCCCACTGTAGTAATCGAGGGTCGGAATATACTGAGCCATGGCACCCGTGACTATGACGTCAAGGTACTTTGTGTTGGGCCAAATCCTAACGATTATACGTTCCCAGTTCTCTCCGGAGCATTCATTCTTTATGAAAGTGGCGAGTTCAGGGTCGGGTTTTAAAATCTTGGACATGCATTCCCTGATGGAAGGGTCTGTGACCTTTGGGTTTAGGGTTCCGGTGAGGATATCATGGGCCAATTGTTCCCAATTGAGCTGAAGGAACCTTATGGCTCGGAGAAGGCCAGAGGCGAAAACAGCTCCTACACGGAGAACCTCGAGGCGCATGATGAGGCCACACAGCATCTGAGTGTACATGCTTTGGAAGGAATCGGGGCAAAGGATGGCCTCGTTGGGGCTGGTGAGGACGTTGTAAGGGTCGAATGGTCTTTTCCTGAATTGCTCACTCTTGTAGTAGCTGGTCAGCACCGGACGCGCCACTAACCCACCGGGTGTCTTGCTCTCTGCTTTGATGAACAGAAAGTGAAGCGCTTTCCCCTTGTCCAAATCGGACACGAATCTTCACAAACGAACGAAATTAATTAATCAATAAATGCAAAGAAATAGTAGCAGTGATTACTATAACTGCAATGCAATCAATACGTCACTTAGCAATAAATGAAAAAAAACACGTTAAAACGTTAGCCTTAATGTTAACAGTTAACGTACTGGTTCATCACAGGCATCAGAAGGCTGTAAAGTAACTGACGACGGTCCATCTCTTGATCAATGGTTGGCATCAACTTTCTCTCGCCAGCAGACGTTCCGGAACTGTAAAACAATTTTGATTTAACGTCATGTCATATATTCATTCAAGCACGATCCATTGAGCACAAACCATATATATATATTCTTATACGATGAATATCAATGCATCCTTGAATTATATGATCAAGTGGTGAAAAAGAGTGAAAGAGAGATAGGCAGGGGTTTACCTTGTGAGGAACTCAGAGATGGGGAGAGCGCACAAGATGGGAGAGCGGTCACCGTTGGCAATGCATTGAATATAAGGCTGCAGATCCTCGTACGTGACCACAGGAACCTTGGACTTGAAAGTGTCACGGTCGGTGGCACCGTTGAGTCCGTAGCGTTTGAGGTACTCAGTGTCGGCGTTTTGGCCGAGAATCTCGGCAAGGACTATCTCCTGGACAGAGTCAGTGTTTTTGGTTACCTCCTCGATGAACTGAAGAGCCTTTGCGCTCTTCTCGTCACGAGGTAAGGAGAGGGAATCAGATTCAACGGCCATGGTGAGTTTTGAGGTATGTAATAACCACGGAGCGAGAGAGATAAGAAGAAGGTTTTGGGTATAGAGAAAGACGGGGGTAGGGAATATTTATAATGGGAAAAATGGAGTTCGACGTCATGGTTCAGGTAATGGGTTGCCACGTAGGAATGGCGGGGCAAATAGTTGGTTTGGAAGGACGCTGAGGGGCTGATGCCGGGTCTGGGGGACAAAAGTTTCAAACAAACTTTTGTTTTAGACTTGGCTGGTGGACATGTGGGCCAGGGAACACGTAGGGATGGGGCTTCATGGGAATAATGGCCGACAGGTAGGACCCAATGTATCGCCACGTCAGCACAAAGTTGTCCGAGCCTACGCTGCATCCAAACCACGCGGTCATTTCCATGCAGGGTTTGTTGGCCTCCGAAAGCGATTGGTGCCGGCTTCAACCCTCTTCTAGCCCATTTCTTTCACTAAGAGACAGCCCAAACTTGTTTTGCTTAGTAACTCATCAAAATTTCTCACACCTTTTTTTCAACAACATGTTCTCACACTAGATTACAATTTACAACTAGAGTTAAACCTTTTTCATTTATTTTTATTTTTATTTTTACCCAAACCAAATTTTTTTACTAAATTTCTTTTTGTTTTATGAAACATGGGAATTTGGATAATGACGAAGAATTTGATTAATACAACTATGAATTCTAGTGACAGATCGCACTGGTCATACTTTGAATAGGGTCAAATATTGCCACGTACTCTTATTATGAATTACAATTGACAGCAGAATATAATCATTAAAAAGTTAAACGACGATAGACGGTGATATGACGATGTAGATGAGAAAAATTGAACCTATTGAAAACCTTTTTTTGGCAAGAAATATATACTTTAATTTGTATAAAGATTTGCGTTACTCATACCAATATCCTTGTTTTGAAGATAAAAGTATTATTAATATCGAAAGGATTGAACAATCTCTTCATTTGTAATGTAATTTCAACTTCCAAGTTTTGGAGTGGATGTAGGGGTTAGTGTGGTTGCACAGAAGTTTTAGGATTCTTTGGATAACGACGTAAACAATAATAGATTGCCTTGGTTTTATTTCCATCGTCATCATAACTTATAAGTCATATATAATAAGTGTCATAATTAACTAATGATTCCTCAAAGATGCCGAAGAGAACAACGTCATCATATGTCATGGAATTGAAAAGGTAAATAATCCAAACTATTCACCTAACCTCTGTTTGAACTTATCTTATTAAATAAAATATAAAATTCTCTATAAATAATTAAATAAAAATTTAACATGTATTTCATGTTAGAAAATGCAGTAATATACCTATCCTCATCATCAAGATAAGATAATTTGATTCTAGTAATAGATGATGACTTTAGATTTCAATAATTCCAATATTTACACTACAATCACAGTCATATTTATTTTGATACTATCCTACCTTTACTAATTCAATATTTTTATGCATTTTAATAAAATATGTTAAAGCCTTATACAATCAATTCAACAATATTATACATACACAATACACCCATTTAATTAATATTTGCAGTGGACCTTCTCATAACAATAGCATGATAAACAACTCAGCATTTAATGAAATAAAGTTCTATATTTAAAAAATAATAATTAACTTATATTTTTATTTGTTCATATTTTATAGACACTTTATCTTTTCCATGTCTTATTTATGTATATATCTCATTATATTTTTTTATATTTCAGATATTTATATATGATAGAAATTAAAATATATTTAAATCAATTATAAAAACTGAATTATGAGATTAAATTTAACCTTTATTATATATTTTTTTAATTGAAATTATTAACTATTGATGAATGTAATCGTCAAAAAATAAGTAATTATTAATGAAAAGTACACAAAAATTATCAAGTTATTACCAATGGATATATCTATCAATAAATTAACAATTAGTTTTCGTTCATCGATAAATTAATAATTAGTTATCATAAATATTTAAAATATATAAATTCATGATGTTATAAATATAGGATTTCAATCATTTAAATTTTTTCTTTTGAAAAGAATACAACTCAGTCTTACTTTACAAGATCTTTTACCTTTTTCATTCTCATTTGACAAGAAAATCATTATTAATAATATCAATAATTATAATTATATTCACAAATTTTATTTAATATAAGAAATAAAATATAATCAAATATTTAGCAAGGTTTGTTTAACAACGTGTATTATTATTCATTTAAATTTTAAGTTTTTAAAATAAATAAATAAATATATGGCACGTCCAAAATAAAATTTAGCTTCTTTTACACTTAAAATTGCAATATAGTTTGATTTTTATGTGTTAACGTGTGTAATTATTTTGGCCATGGTGATAATGTTAGGGAACAAGAAGATAATTATAGTAAAGAGATAGTTTTATGGTGGTGAAAATAATAGAGATAAAATGTATATATAAGTTTTTTATTTTTTCTTAAAAGTAGTAGAGACAAATAAATTAAAAAAAATACAAAAATTTTAAATGTTAATTATATTCATGTATCTGTCTCTATTTATACATTATACGCGTGACATAAAATGATAGAATTTTTATAATTTAATATTATTACTTTTGTAGATGTATATAAATCAAAATAAATATTATTATTTAATAACAAATGAAAAAAATCATTTATACCTAATTAATAAGTATAATTAAATCTCAAAGTTAATATTATTTATTATCTAAAATAATAAATAATTTCATCAATAATATATTTTAAAAAATTATTTAAATAGAATATTAATAAGTTTATCTTTCTGATTAAACTTTTTTTTTCTTCATTTATATTTTTCTGTTCTGATTTAGTGATTGTTTTTTTTTCTCTCTTTTTGTTATTCTCTCATCTCATTTTATTCTTCTAACTAAAAATGCTATATTGAAATTTGATAATATAAGTTTTTTATTATTTTTAAAAGATACAAATATTTAAGTTATTTATAAATATTATAATTTAATATATTATATTTAAAAAATATAATAAATTTAAGGTATTGCAAATATTATTATGTTATAATTATTGAGAACAAGTAAATATTTAATTTAAAGTAAATTTTTTAATAAATATTTTTTTAATTAATTAATCTAATTAATTATCATTACTCAGATTAATTATAACTAAATTAAATTACTAAATAAAATAAATTCAACTCTTAAATATTTAATATCTTTTTAATTAAATTAATTATTTAACTCATAAATATTTAATAATTATAACTATATTAAATTAATTATTTATGAAAATATAATCATTTACTGTCCTAATAAATAAAAGTATTTATTGTCATCATAATTTTAAATAATTAGTTAATATTTTTTTAGTTTTAATTTTGATTTAAAAAAATATTTTAACTTATTTTTATTAAATTTTAATATAATAATTTAAATTAAAAAAATAAAAGTGGGGAGAATAAACAAAAAGAAGTGAAAAAAATATACTAAAATAATAAATAAATAAATAATAAAAGAAAAAAAACATTTTTTATATAAATAAGAAACCGATCTATTAATTGATTAAATAAACTAATAAAAATTATATTCAAATATTTTTTTAAAAATATATTATTTATAGATTGATTCTTAAAACTACTTTATAAGAATATTATAAATACGACATGGATTTTTTTATATGTTATTATTTTAATGTTATTTTTAAAATTATCTATTTTATCACTATCTTTTCCCATAAATAAAATCGAACAAGTGACTTTTACAAAATAAATAAATGCCATAATTGAGATTAGAAGTTACATACAAATTTCCAATCCCAAAGTTTTGCTAATTGGAGTGCCTTAAACAAACAATTGTGTTATGTTGTATATACATTGTGATGATAGAGAAAGACGAATTGACAATAAATTAAAGTTGAGTTTTTCATATAGTCAAGATAAAGTTAATTCACAACATTAACTCTTGTGGGACTCACTTCTTTATTATGCAATTTAATGATTTATGTGAGTGAGTTTATTGTACAATTATTACTAATAATTGAATGTTTTTGTTAGGGTGGTATGTATTGAACTTTCCAATTACTCTCTCCCCTCTCTGCAATAAGGTGGGGTTTGTTATTGAGTTATACAAAACAATAAAAATACTACTAACTTTTTCACAGTTTATATATTTTTTTAATAATACATTTTATCATTGTGTTCTCTTCTCTCATCAAAATTATTAATTATAATTTATATTCTCCTTATTTTTTTCTAAGAAAAAATGTGAAATTTTTTTATTTTTTAAAAATAAGATTCTTTTTATATTTTTTTAATCTTAAAAATTTTATCACTAAAAAATTTGATTTAAAAAAATATAGAAGGATTCCTATTTTCCACAAAAATTTAATATCATATAAATTTGTAATTTCATGAATATTTTGTTTTTGTTTTATTCTATTTTTTATTCTTTCTTTCTTTCTTTATTATTCATTCCAATGTTTTAAATCTATCATTAATTAACTTGATCAAAATACTGAATAATATATATATATATATATATATATATATATATATATTCTTTTTTAAATTTCTCTTGTTATAATATTTTTTTGCGATCAAAGGAGAAAAAAGTACATCATATTATGATTTATAAAATAAGAGAAATAATATAAGAAAAACAACTATTATAATTTATTATTATTATTATGTTTTAAAATTAGAGAAGGGGAGAGATGAAGAAAAACATCTCACTTTCAATTTTACATTTTATGAAGAATACACTAACTAAAGAGTAATATTTTAACTATGCAAATAATGTTTAAAATATAAACTATGTCAATATTTTTAAATATTTATTTATTATTTTTCACTTGTTAAAAAATGTTAGCTTCTTACATGTCTGTCAGAAAATTATACCACATAATCACTTTAAAATAATTGTCCTATGTTTAGCTAAATATTATACCTTTCTTAGGCTTTTTGCCTTTTACGCAGAGATCACAGGTCTTTTCAAACTATATGATACTCAAGTTTTTAAGGATTATTATTCCAAACATGATTAGTTTCTCATGCTTTTATGAGTGAACAATGCCCTACATTTTCTGATGAAAATAATGTCCTACTGCATGTCATAATACTAGGCATTAAAGGAACTGCACAACTATACTCTGCCATATTTGTTTGAATACACAGAAAGTGGAAATACCAGTCACACTCCACATCAACAAATTCTTCTCATAACCTAACTCTCACCAACTCACCACAACTTGAACAAATAATTTTTACTCAGATTCCACCAAGTCATCTAATTAACAATTATCAAGATAGCAAGTGGAATAGAAAAGGTGTGGTAAGATAAGATATACCACGCGCCAACTTTGAATGCACGCCTTTCTGCTGCAATGTCTAACGTTGTTTTGGAAAGTTTCTCAAAATACTGAAACTACGTGATCATTCTCATTAGCATAAATTAAAT